AATACAAAGCAAGCTTCCAAAGTTGGTTCGTCTGCTTACAAGTAAACTCACAAGTTAACTTCAAGTTGCAGCGGCGGCGGCGATTTCTTGCTTCGCCGAAGCGAAGGCGTCCTGGATCGCGGAGAATCCTCGGGGCTCCGGAGGAGTTCTCACCTACATCGTCCATATAGGACGACTCGGGAACTCAACTCCTACCCCGAGCAGCTCACCGATCCCCTTATGCCCAGGGGAAAGGTATCAAGCCGTTTGACAGCAGATGCTGGCTGTCAAACCGGCTTTTACGCAAAACAGGCGGGAGGCAGCAAACAGCTGCGACCAGCGAAATCGCCTGCCACCGGAAGTCCCCGTTTTCTTCTGTATTTCCAACAGAAGGTCAACATCCAATGAAGGAATGGAGGTTTCTAGAAGTAAACCTCAAGGGATAGTACCATTGAGAGAACTTCAGATTCCTAGACCATAGTTTACATTACCTACACGAAGAGCTTCTGGTAGGGGATGGGCTACACTTCACAAGGACCGGAAAGAACATGTTTGGAAAACATCGGTCTCAATTCATCCAAAGGGTTTTAAATTAAACTGGAAGGGGAGGGAGACAAATCTTTAGAACCAAACCCCAAGAATAAACCCCAAGACAACAAATCAGACAATGAGGAAGGGAGTGGCAAGAAGGAAGGGGAACTCATGCATAAAACAGGAGACAGGAAGCAAACACCAGGTCAGTGATAAAGGGTTCAGATGCCTATAGACTAATGCTCAAGGTACGGGGAACAAACAGAACTTGAAGTCCAAGTACATGAGGGCAGGTACAATATTGTTGCCATTATTGAAACTTGGTGGGATGGAACCCATGATTGGAACATACTATTAGAAGGATATAAATTACTCAAAAGAAACTGACCCAACAAAAAACAAAAGACCCCACAAAAATGGATCCAGGAAATTGTAGGCCAAACAGATTGACATCAATACCTGAGAAAAACCTGGAAAATATAATCATATGGAGGATTTTTGAAATGAACAAGGTGATTATTTAAAGCCAGCAAGGATTTATTAAAAACAGATCATGCCAGACAAATCTTATATCCTTCTTTGATAAAGTGATTAAATTAGTGGATCAGAGAAATGCTGTGGATAAAGTACACTTAGACTTTAGTAATGTATTTGACAAAATAGACCACAGCCTATTTTTGATAAGAAAGAACAATGTGGGATAATATCACCATCAGATTGATTTGCATTTGGCTAACCAACTGCACTCAACATGTAGTCCTCAGTGGAAGAACATTGGAAGTACATTTACGTGGAGTATTTGATATCTATGCATTTAGTTTTTCCTGCCTGTGCAGGACCTTATTTTGATACCACTGAATTGCATTTTGTTGGATAGACCCAGTATTCAAGTCTGTCAACATCCTTCTGAATTTTGGGTCTATCTTCCAAAGTGTTGGCAATTCCCTCCAGCTTGGTGTTGTCTGCAAATTTAACACGCATCCCTTCTATCCCTCATCTAGATAATTTATGAAGATGTTGAAGAGTACTGGGCCCAAGACAGAACCTTGAGATAACCCTTTATCAGGGATTGTCTGTCTGCCCCGATTTGCATTGACTCTTCCCCCACCCTTGATCACAGCAGTTGGTGAAAGTAAGATGAAGACAGAAGAAGGTAGTCAAGGAGATAGCAGGTTACAATGGAACAAGCCCAGATCTCTTCTAAAAGTATGTCAATTGTTATGCAGGTTATGTAGATTTCATCCTGTTTCTGCCTAATGAATTTGCTTGCCTTCAGGTTTGCCTGGTCACCTCTTTCAGTAACTGTGAGAGAGATCTAGGTGTCCTAGTGAACCATCAATTAACTATGAGCCAGAAGCAATGTGCTGCTGCTGCTAAAAAAAAAAGTAGTCCTAGGCTGCATAGTTGGTGAATCCAGAAAAAGAAACTCCTGAGACATTATTTTACCAAGAATATAAAACTTTGCTGAATAAATCACATTGGCACAGAAGAAGCAAAGCCAGCTCTGGATTTCCCAGGCAAAAGCAAGCATAGTTAATTCAGTGGACCAATTTAGTGGCTGACTCAATTTGGATTTCACCCCTCCCCCTGTCTTGAGCAGATTGGTGATGGGCAGGGCTGTCTGGGCAAATGTGGGGATGAACTGCCAGTAAAA